TTTTTGCAAAACCCAGGTTTAAAAAAAAGTGTTATTTATAAAAATGCACTGTAATTTGGTGTATATAGCAAGTAATGCACATATCTGATACATTATACGGGGATATTCAGTACTGCTTTACATCTTTCACTACTATAATGTGTACATTGTAATAAAAATAATGCAGTGTCAGTAAAAATGGGTTCTTAGCATAAAAGAAAAGATAGTATTTTTGTAGTTAATAATTAATTGCATGTTATTATAGTGCTCATGGTTATAGTCTGCACAGGGAGAATTACTTATTACATTGCTTATAGATATAAATGTACTATAGAGACATAAGGGTTTATTCACTAAACTCAGAATTCTAGAGAACTGAAAAATCTCTTGCACAATTTGGGATAAAATTGCCAGACAGTGTATATATTGGAGACAGAAAACTTTTTTAAAAATTTTTTATAATAAACCTTTTTAATTCGGTCTTGAAGTCACTACATTTTCTGGTACCTGTATACACTTCGCTATATTTTTTATTAATTAGTAATTCCATAGATAACTAAACCGAGACATGTGTTTGTGTTTTGTGAATGGCTAATAAGGTTTATATTACATCAGTGTCTTCCTTTTCAGGGAGGTTAATAAGTCATTATATATGTAGAGTACAGATAAATGGTTCCCCTGCTTTTTATTATCGAACATCATGAAACTTGTTCAGAATAAAAGGCTCTGTGTACGGAGCCAAACAAATGTAGGTCATTTCTTTCTTAATCCAAATCATGCTCCCTGGTAGTTCTGTTACAAAAAAAAAAAAGTATTTGCAGTTCTTAAATACTCCCAAAAGTGAAATTTCAGGAGAGGGATAATAACTGGGGCATAGTAAGTGTACTGTTTGCCATTTGCTAAACTTACTATTTCCTAGAAATATCTTGCTTGTCTTTCATTTATGACCCAGTTATTCTCTCTCCATATCTCATTATATATAAATATACAGAACATAGAAGTCCAACTTCTAATTCTAGAGAACAGTAAGAGTAGAATCCGCAGAGGTCAACAGAAACCATCTCTTCAAGTTATGGACCAGCTGTAGATTACTGACTACCAAACTCCACCAGCACAGTTTGCATTAGTCTGGTAGGATTGCCTCATCAGTTCTAGTTCACAAGGTTCTGTGATGTCATAAGCTCAAAGTTCCTACAATTAAACTTTCCTGGCTGGCATGATGTCTTGAGCCACAGGTCATGGGCAGCATGGTATCTGCACACACACTATGAAGAAAAGAGAGACCCCTGTGTAACTGGTTGATAGGTGTCCACCATTACCAGTACATTACTCCTAGAAGATACATGGAGATATCCCTTTGTGCCTTCCATGGGGTTTATTGTACAGACTTGTCTTACCTGCCATGTGTCTGAAGAGGACAAAGCATTTTCTTCCATTCTCATTATCAGGGGAGGGGGGAGGATTCAGTTCTTCTAAATATTGCTAAATATATTTGTTAATTATATCAAACACCACAAATTAACCCCTTGATTGCAAGAGCCAAATGGTCCCTCCTACTACTACCTCTATAATAGGGTGTGATTATTACTATGTAAGTGGGATGTGGAATGGTGTGCAGAAAGTCAATTATTAGAAAAAACTGCAAAAAGTCCCCATTATACCCTCTTACCGTTGGAGAGCAGATAAGGTGTTTAGCATATGGGTGGCACAGACTAATCGGGCAAATAAAAAAAAACAGAAGGGAAGCCCTGGAATGTGGGAAAGATTGTCAAATATATAGGGGATGGGGGGATGCCTAGGGCTCACCCCCTGTTTCCGACACCCGTAGATTGTAGGAAAATGGTTAAAAACGTGTGTAAAAGAATATGAATAATTTTGAAGGCATTTCAGGCTGAAGTGCAATATGAAAACAATGAGACATAATAAATAAAAACCAAAGCCCTGGAATGTGGGAAAGATTGTCAAATATATAGGGGATGGGGGGGTGCCTAGGGCTCTCCCCCTGTTTCCGACACCCGTAGATTGTAGGAAAATGGTTAAAAATGTGTGTAAAAGAATATGAATAATTTTGAAGGCATTTCAGGCTGAAGTGCAATATGAAAACAATGAGACATAATAAATAAAAACCAAAAGAAAAGATGATAATACATTTAAAGGTCATGCAGCTGATGCAGAGGCAAGGCACATCAGGAAGGAGTACCTCCCAGAAAGAAACATGCTTAACCAATCAGGAACATCTTATTATGGTCTAAGGGGGCTCCCTTATCATAACCTAAACTTTATGGGTTATATCATTCCATTAGTCACACAGGATGAATGGAACTTTTAAAATACTGATAGCAATCACAACAAAATTGCTCACTTGAGCACAACATTTAGGGTTTGCACACTCATTTGCAGCAGAATTTTTGGGTAAGGGCGCAAGGGCCCTGGTTCCCAGAAATAATTTCCTCAAAAGAATGATCCTTTGCACCCCAATTCAGCCATCCACATTTATTGGATCACAAACCTACCATGGTTTGTGATCCAATTAATATGGGATATAGAGCAGTCCAAAGCAGTTACTGCAATTTACTCCTGTGTTCTTATATTTTGCAGACAATCTCATGTCTCCAGGTAGTATTGTGCTGTACAGTATTATGTATAGGAAGTCAGCCGTCCTTGTTTTACTGGTTTGTTCATCTGCTTGGATGTATTGAATAGTTAGTTTAGGAAATACTTGTTTGTTTTCATTTTCAATACCTGTGGCTATCAGGGTGCCATCATTGATTTTCATGGGATTCCTATAACAGTTAAAATTTCTCTTTTGGTAACAGAGTTAAAGCTGCATCTGAAATAAATTGTTAACTTTAGTTAAAGTGGCACAGATCCTATGATGGTCACATTGGTGCTCAGGGTTAGGAGGTCCAGAGGTGCAGCATGGTGGGTTATTCTTACCTGTTGCTGTCTCCTGTGGGTGCTGCAATCTTTATTCTTCAGCTCCTGGCACGTCATTCGTGAGGAACCTATGTTAGTGCTGTACTCATTCTTCACTGCTTTTTATGACCATTCATTTACTGGATGCCCTTCATTGGTGCAATCAAGGATGTTGAACAGGGTTGTAATTTATTTTACCTTTGCAAACTCGTAGGCCACTACCTATGACTGTGGGAGAAAGGGGTAGGGGCTTTTCTTACCACTAATAAGTTAATATTATCCTCCATCATCATTTAAATTTAAGGGAAACTATAGGCTAGGAATACAAAACTGTATTCCTAGCCCATAGTCCCCCCCCCCCCACTCATGCCCTTACATAACCCCCTGTAGTGATGAAAGTGTTAAAAATCCTTTTAACACTTACCTGAATCCAGTGCCGATATCCCGTGGCGCTGGGTCAAACTCCGCCTTCACTTCTCCTCCCCCGACGTTGGGGAACTAATGCATATGTGCGTGAAGTGCCACACTCGCATTAAGACAATAGGATAGCATAGCGTGATGACGTCCAGCGTAAGTTAGGCGATGACCCGGAAGCACCTCTCGTGGGTCTCTGGTAGACAGCCACTAGCGGTGTAGTTAACCCTGCAAGGAAGTAATTGCAGTTTCTCAATAACTGCAATAATTACCAGTGCAGGGTTTAACTGACAGGGACAATGCAAACAGACCACTTCAATGAGCTAAAGTGTTCTGGTTGCATATAGTGTCCCTTTAACCCCTTAAGGACACACGACATGTGTGACATGTCATGATTCCCTTTTATTCCTGAAGTTTGGTCCTTAAGGGGTTAAGGGAACAATGCAAGCTGCATGACTGCTACAGTGCTCTGTAGTGGTTATAGTGTCAGGTGTGCCTGTGCACCCTTTCAAATAATTTTCTAATGGTTTTACTTCTTACCTGGGGATCGCTGGGGCACCACTTCCTGCCTCCCCGCAGCTCAAAGTGAAAGTCAGAGAGTCTGTTTGGTCTCAGCTAATGAGCTAAGCCCTGCACCATCAGGAGTAGCTTAGTGAAGAGCTTCAGGCTGTGAGGAAGCAAGGATTGATGCCCTGCAGATCCCAGGTTAAAAGTCAAATGGTTAGGCTACTTACATTGATGGGAGGATTAGGATACTCCTGGCACCATAATCACTACAGTGTTATGGTGTTTCTAGTGTTCCTTTAAATGTTCAATGTGATAATCTATCCTAGTTGTGCCATGCTTCACGTCACGTGCCTTGCATCAAATTAATGTTCTCTCTAGGACCTCTGAAGAATGGCCCCAAACCAAATAGGGCAACACATTGTTGACACTATTTAAAGGGACACTGTTGTCACCAGAACAACTACAGCTTAATGTAGTTGTCCTGGTGAGTATAATAGTTTCCTTTGGGCTTTTTTCATGTAAACACTGCCTTTTCAGAGAAAAGACAGTGTTTACATTGCCTCTAGGGACACCTCCAAGTGGCCACTCCTTAGATGGCCACTGGAGGTGCTTCCTGGGTTGGTGCTGCCAAAAAAGGAGCACTGACGTTCAGTGTGCCCATGCTCTGCATGGAGTTGCTGAAAATTCCTCAGAGAGATGCATTGATTCAATGCATCTCTATGAGGAGGTCCTAATTGGCCAAATGGCATTTGGCCCTGCACCGTGCAGATTTTAGTCAATCTGAAGCCCAGAACCAGAAACCGGGACCCAACACTTTAAAAGAAATCCAGCTAGCAGGCAAATAGTTACAAAAGCCCTTGGAAATGCAAGGGTTAATTATGCGCAGCTGGCCATGTAGCACTGCTGCCAAGTTGCTAGATAATATTCTGTGAGGAGAGAACCTAACCTATCCCAGGCCCCACTAGTTGGTAGCAGGTGGGGCACTATTAAAGTTACTCCAACCCTGTTCAGTGTATAATTATTTTGACTTACCTTTGCCTATTGACATTGCTAATTAGGTCCCCTTCATTATAAACTTGAAAATAAAGAATAAACGTACCTGAAATCCAGCAATAGGCAAAGCTCATCACTGCATCCCTCACACAGTTCTCATAGAAAAGCATTGGATTGGACTGTTCGAGCCGGCATGGAGAGTGAATGAGTGGACATTAAAGGGAGATGGGAGGGAGTGCACAGAGGGAGGGGAGATCAAGCTTCCCCTTATGCACTCCCTCCCATCTCCCTTTAATGTCCACTCATTCACTCTCCATGCCGGCTCGAACGGTCCAATCCAATACTTTTCTATGAGAACTGCGTGAGGGATGCAGTGATGAGCTTTGACTATTCCCAGGTGCATTCCCAGCGCTGCCTGGAAATGGAGAAGCTGAGAATCTCTTGCCAGTTCTGAGCTGTCTAAGTCAGTCAAGCAGAATCAAGACAATACAGATTTCCACCACCAACCACTTCTGAAAGCAGAAGTGATCATTTTGGTTTAAATAACCCTTCAATAATATGCTGGGGGACCTAATGTCCCCTGCCCCCACTAGGTCTTCATTATAATCCTATGGGGTTCTACATATATTTAAGGCTGGGCCTGTAGTTGTGGGAGGGGCTTGGGTCCCCTTTATGAGGGCTGCCAATCCTCCCACTTTACCATTGTTGCTCTGTCAAGTTGAAGGACTACTTCCGGTCAAGTCGCCAATTGGCTGTCTCCTACCTGTTTCCTGGCTCTAGTTTCCATCCTTATCCTACGAACCTAACTGCTTACCTGCCGTTACAGACCCACTGCCTCCTCCGGCTTGCATAGAGACTTGTCCCGGAACCGCTAGTTTCAAACCATAAGTTAGACCCACAGCAATGCGCCTCAGTCGCACTCTTTCAACGTCATCATAGGTCTATGTCTATTAGTACCATTTCTTATAATTCCGTATGAGTTCGGCATTTCACATTCATTTGTATGAGTTTAGTCCTGTGGTATGGGCCTTTCATTCTTTCTACCACACAAACAGATACACCCCTTCCGATTCGGTTCTTTTGCTACGCATGCAGACGCTTATCCGTTAACATATTCGTATGACATACTATACGTACCATCTAGTGAATAGCAGCAGATACATGCAAACTGCTATTTAAGACATAGACTTTGTTGGTAAATTTTTTAAATGTTGGCTTATTTTAGCTAATCCCTCCTAGTTCTTCATTAATATCTCTCATTTCTGTAGGTGTTAAGATCTGACCAGACTGGTTTGCAGTCACAAGGTTTCTTCCATTTGTGGCAACATTTGCCAAATTTTTCCCCTCACATCTAGGATTGGGGTTGGTTTCTTTATATTACTCGGGTCCACGATCTGGCCCATATACATATATATACTTCTCTCATGTACTAAGATACTGTATCACTTTTCATCTTTAGGTGAAATACGTAACCACTCCTACCTTTCTCCCATATTTCTTCTAAGAATCATCATTTCTGATTCTAACCTTCACAGGTACGACAATTAGAATCCCTATATCTTAGCCCCTTTTAGCAGAAAGTACTAGCTATCAGGGATAGGACGGCCAAATAGGTTGTGTTTCTGGCTCTCTGCCATAGGCTGGTGGTCCTGCGAGGCCAACACCCCTCCTCATACTCGGAGGTATACGTCCATCGACCCAAACAAAGTAATTAATCTCGCATGGTTGCATAGAGACGGCCTCACCTGTCACACCCATACTATCTTCTGCTTTAATTATCACAGAGAGGCCAACATCCTGCCACAATGTTTCAATGGCCTCAAATCCCCTTGGGCCAACACATAGTTAGAGCCTCTCAAGCCGCTTGGCAGTTAGCAGGGCCTCACCTGTCACATTGTGCTAGTATAATTTTTTGCCACTTGGCATTAGCTAGCCAGCCAGTACATGGTTATGAAGTATTACTGATGGTGATCATATATATATATATATATATATATTTCAGTATGTCTCAAGTTCCTGATAAACCAGAAGAACTGTTCCTTCCTTGCACCCCAGCTAGGTCCGACAACCCTGCCCAAGGAACTGATATGGCTAGTCCATCTTCACTAAGGTCATCGACTATCCCATGTTTCATGGCAGAACTCCATAAACAATGTGTTCCATTCCCGGCTACTGCCAGGAAGATAGAGCTCTTCAGACTTCTCAATACAAACACTGACAACTTGAGAACAGGGGAGGGGACTAGTAGATCTCAGTTGCCGGATGTTCATGCTATGCTCACCTTGTTAATGTCTTCCATTGGACTGATTTGTGATAGACTGGAGAAATTGGAAGCAGTCTGTTCCTCTAATGTGCCTGCTGGCCCGCTATTCCAGTGTGTGGGGGTTCATCTGCCACACCGGGTAACTCTCTTGTCCCATCTCAAATCCCTGAAAATATAAACACGGCGCATATGGTCCCGGCTGCACTCAAGAAGGATATCCTGGAGGGCAAGGATGTTAACCTAGTCTCGCTCCTAATTGTCTCCCAGGATGTCCTTACGCATATGGGGACATATCAGTAGTACTAAATTATCCATACCTGAATTTGTCTTTTTGGGTTTTGGGATCTACAGGGATGTGTATAGCTCAGTTTTTCCAGAAAAAAGGGAACAGTTGGATGTATACTTGCACAAGCTTGTGGATCTGGGGCATAAATACGGTGGTACAGCCTTCTATGACTACCACCATTACTTCTCTGCAAAGGTGGCTGCAGCTCTGGCTCAACTACATCACCAACTGGAGTATATTAAGTACTGAGCTATTCTGCAGTCCTCAGGGCCCCGGTTTGTGCGATTTGTGCATCCACGAACCTATGCCCCAATTTGGCTGAAGTGGAACATGGCCACTCAGTCCCTAAGTCTGCAAGGTCAACTAAAGGGTTGAAGGATAAACTGGGTAGAGATAATGATTTTTTGGACAAGTCCCAGATATGTAATAATTTTAATGCGGGAATTTGTGGGTTTAGTTCCTGCATTCCTCCACGGTCCCCAGTCTAATTTCCCTCATAGCCTCTGACAAATTCTCGCTGCAATATTCCACAAGTGACAATGCCATCAGGACCACTTTGGCTGCTGGGACAGGAGCATGGCAAGGTAAAACGGACATTGTCAATGCTTTCAAATTACTTCCCATTTACCCTTCACTTTGGCATCTGCACGGCATTGAGTGGCAAGGGCTATATTATTTCTTCTCCCGGCTCAAAAAAGTAACCCCAAAATATTTGATATTTTTGCTGAGACCTTGTGTTGGTTGCTGCTTGATGTCTGCAGATATTCGACTGTAATTCACTATTTGGATGACTTCCTCACTATAGAAAACAACTCACTACCCCCTGCCAGCCTGACACACATGTTGACTCTTTTTGAATCCCTGAATATATCGGCCTCACCTAAATAGACAGAAGGTCTTTTTGCCCTTTTTATTACAGGCCTACTGCATTGTTGGTTCCGGTACACCACAACCGACTGGTGTTATTATCTATGTTTTGTTGTATACGAACCATGTGTTATCTTACCATCACGGCAATACTGCCCTGACCACAAACAATATAATAAAGACCTAGTGTCCCACACGCAAACCCTGACCCAGGGGTGGCAGCATGTGGTGGTGGACATGCCATTGTTCACCCCCCCAGTTAGTGGCATTTTCTAACTCTCTCCCCCCCAGGTGGTTATGGGTCCCAAAGCACCTAGTCACCCCACTTTAAATTAAATCAACCCTACTAACCCCCTTACCCCAATAACAGTTAAAAACCTCATAGTAATATGGATGTCATAATCACAAAAGCACTGATTTCAATTGATGATTGCTGCATATCCGGTTGGACAGACCTAATTTTAACCATTTATGGCTTTAAAAACATATGGGGATTGCCAATGTGGATGCATGGTAGTGGATGCATGGAATAGCCTTCCAGCTGAAGTGGTAGAGGTTAACACAGTAAATGAGTTTAAGCATGCGTGGGATAGGCATAAGGCCAGGGGCGTATTAGCCGCAAGGCAAACAAGGCATTTGCCTTGGGCGGCATTTTTCAGGGGGCGGCAAAAAACGCCGCCCCCCAAATGCCCAGGGCAAATGCCTAGTTAGCCTCGCGGCTAACTGACATCCCGAGCAGGCGGGCAGGCGGGCGGCTGGCGAGGGAGCCCTTCCTATGAGCTCTCTGCTCAGCTCCCTCGCGCACCGCAGAGTGAGCCTGGGAGCCGGAAGATGACGTCATCTTCCGGCTCCCAGCCTCACTCTGCAGCCGGCGCGCGAGGGAGCTGAGCAGTCAGCTCATAGGAAGTGCTCCCTCGCCAGCCGCCCGCCTGCCAGCGCCGCCCGACCTGCAGCCACTGGACCACCAGGGAGAGAGACCCCCCCCAGCACTCCCAAAGGTAAGGAGGTTGGGGGGGGATTTGAATTAAAAAAAAAAGGTAATGTGTGTTTGTGTCTGACTGTGTGTGTTTGTGAGTGTGTGTGTTTGTGTCTGACTGTGTGTGTTTGTGTCTGTGTATGTGTCTGACTGTGTTTGTGAGTGTGTGTGTGTTTGTGTCTGTGTATGTGTCTGACTGTGTTTGTGTATGTGTCTGACTGTGTGTGTCTGACTGTGTGTTTGTGAGTGTGTGTGTGTCTCTGACTGTGTATGTGTGTGTGTTTGTGTCTGACTGTGTTTGTGAGTGTGTGTGTTTGTGTTTGTGTATGTGTGTGTCTGACTGTGTTTGTGTCTGACTGTTTGTGTGTGTGTTTGTGTCTGACTGTTTGTGTCTGTGTATGTGACTGACTGTGTGTGTTTGTGTCTGTGTATGTGTCTGACTGTGTGTGTGTCTGTGTATGTGTCTGACTGTGTGTGTGTGTGTATGTGTCTGACTGTGTGTGTGTGTTTGTATTTAGAAGGTGGGGCGGGGGGGAAGGGTTGGGTGGGGGTGGCGCGGGGGCAGGGGGGCGCCTGAGTTTTGTTCTGCCTAGGGCAGCACAAAACCAGGATACACCACTGCATAAGGCTATCCTAACTATAAGATAAGGCTAGGGACTAATGAAAGTATTTAGAAAATTGGGCAGACTAGATGGCCCGAATGGTTCTTATCTGCCGTCACATTCTATGTTTCTATGTAGTCAGAATTCGGTCATTTTCCCCAAATTTTGTACATCCAGACAAAATACTGTGCCTAGTGCGTATCCATGCCTATCAACAGAGCAGTTCTCTGGATTGATGCAAACAATTCTGGCTGTTAAACCCCATAGACATTTGCATTGCTCTCACATTACCATTTTCTGTTTTTTTGCTGTAATATCCCTTTT